AATAAAATAATATGTAAATAAATTTTTATATTTTTTATAAAAAAAATATAAAAACCTCTCTATCTATTTTTTCCCCCTCTTTCTTTCTCTTTCTTCTAGCGGGGGAAGAAAATAGGTGGAGAGGTTTTTCTATTGTTATTAAAAATATAAAAATTTATCTACATATTATTTTATTTATCCATGCCATCATTATTTTTAGTTAGATGATATATGTTATTATTTTTTTCTAGTTAGATTATACATGTCATTTAAAAAATATAAAAAATACTAAGTGGACGGAGTTAATGGGTTAAATTGATGAAAGTATCAAAATTGTGCGTTACTAAAGTTAAGGAATTAAAAAAGTGTAAAAAATAATTTAAGGATCAAAAAGTACAAAAATAGTTTTTGAACTAAAAAGTACAATTCAATAAAGTTGAGGGATAAAAAGGTAAAATTTAATGAAGTTGAGAGACAAAAAAGTGAAATGTAATGAAGTTGAGGGACAAAAAGTGAAATTCAATGAAGTTGAGGGTTCAAAATTAGTATTTAACCAAGTTTTTTCAAGTGGCGGGTGTGAAATGTGACGGAACATTAATCGGAATAATCGGAATAATAGGAGATTTGACGGAAGTTAGTTTTCCGTCTAATTAGTAGCTTATTTGAGAATTTCATGGAGTTCGGGACCTTCATTGGACGCAATCGAAGTTTGGGTCCGAAATTACGAATTTGGTGTAAGTTCGGGTCCTTATGTCATATTTTTGCCTTTATTTGCTTTTCTACATCTCTTTAGGTAATTTATTGGTGAAGCTAGCAGTTTCGAGCCTCATTTTTTTTTTTTATATATATTTACAGTTGTTTCCTTGATTTTGATGGAAATTATTTGAGCGGTTTCACTTGTTCTCCTTTCTCTATGGTTATTTGTGCTTTTTTCCGCCACTTATCTCACCTCTTTTTTCGCCAAGAAGTACGTCCTTACACTTTTATTCTCTCAAACTAAACTTCCTAGTTTACTTCTACTCTCAATTCAACAATTTTTCTGAGTTTCGATTAAAAGATTTGGAAGGGAATAGTAGAAGAGGAAGGAAGATGTCTATTGTCTCATTTTATTTGTTTGATTATTTCATTAATGGAGAGAGGAAGAGGAAGATGGAAGGGCGGTAGCCCCCTTGCTCCAGTGTTTTTCATTTCTCTAAATTGGAGGTTGCGATGCGTTGGCTT